TTAAACAACATTCATTTGCTCCTGATCGACCAGCAAAATCAACTATTTTATTAGCAAGAACAGTTTTGGAGACAAAACCAAAATCAAAAGAACCTTTTTCAATTATAATTTCTAAAGATCATGTTGCAGAAATCTCTAATTGGATCAATTATGAAACAATTACTTATTCAACAACAAATATTCCTTATAAATTTGAATTAATTTTACGTGGAACTAGAGATGGATTTGCTCCACAAATATTTTGGAATATTTGTCATGGTCATGCTTGTACAGTTGTTGTATAAAAGTTAAAGGGACTGATGAAATGATTGGAGGTTATAATCCTTTAACTTGGGATAATTCTTATAATGATGATGATCAATGGATGGAAACTAATGACAGTTTTATTTTCTCATTAAAAAATGGAAATCTTCAAAATTCAATTATTAGCAGAGTAAAAAAAACCCCAATGTGCAATTCGTAATTCATGTAAAATTTATCAAAATTATTTTGGTCCATGTTTTGGATATGATTTTGATTTATATAGTTATAAATCTAATTTTAATTTAGATAGTTTTAGTCGTTGTGAGAATTATAGAATTTTTATGAAAAACTTACAAGTGCATCATCAGATGAATTACCATTAATGATTATGAAGTATTTAAAGTCATTAAAAAATTTAAAAAATGAAAAAAATAGTTACAATAAACTATTTTATTAAGTTTTCTTTATTTTTTATTTCATTAATATTGAGTTCAATTATACATGTTTATTAAGATTGATTTAATAAGACATTATACCAGATGTAATATGATGTAATAATTTTTGATAACAATGAAATATAAGTCATTAACTTCCACAAGTTAACAGGCCAAAGTATTTTGAAACCTTTGATTCTGCCAGTGAAAATATTACGAAATACTGTTTTAAAAGATTTCCAGATGACGTAAAAATCTTACCAAAGTTCTTAGGATTAAAGGCAATAATTGATTGCTTTAGAAATAGTAAAAATTAATAAGGCATAATATTAAATGTAAATCTATGTTGGTTCCATAATATTATGTAATATCATGCCTTATTAATTTTCCTGATGCTATGAAACTATTATTGACAAATAGATTGAAACATGTATTATAATTTATAATAAATATAAGAATACCAATAATAATACAGTAACAAAAAAAAAAAAAAGGTACTAATTAATAATACAATAGTTAATAGTTAACAAATTATTATACATTATATTGTCTATTGATAAAAATAGGAATAAATATAATAGATCTAATTCTAAACTGGTGAATGCATTCCTAATTTGGTATTAAATAACAATTTTGATCTTTTTTGAAATTTAGTATAATGTTTCATATCATGCATTTTTACCAATTCTTGTATGGGAATAAATATTAATATAGGTACTAAAAAATTAATTATATAAATATAATATGGAATCAACTTAAATATGTAAAGTGGTCCAGGTAATAATGATATAGTGGTAAATATTATTTGCAATAATATACTAAATAGAAAAAAAAGAGTAAGATAAACTAAAAATAATAATAATTTATAATTGACCATAAACAAAATAACATATTACTATAAGATTAATATAAAAAAATAAATACCTCACTATGATAGCTAGAATAAAAACTTTATTTCTAAATGGATTAAATTTTCTCAAAGATAATGTTCGATTTACAAAGGATATGGATATACATGCTAAAATAAATTGTAAGTATAATAAAAGAAGAAATATAATAAATAAATATAAAAAAATAAATTAATAATAAGTAAATAAAATAAATAAGAAAGAAATTATATAAATTTCATACCTAAATACCATACAAATGCAAATAATGTTAAATTTTGAGCATAAAGAACAATCCATTGTTGCTCATTTGTCCAATGTAACCATCCAAGTTTCCCATATGATCCAAATATTGGTGAATCAAAGTCATTAATAAAATAATTTAGACATCTATGTTAATAATAATAATAATAATAATAATTAATGATTGAAATTATTGTAATTATTGTAATTGCTGCAAAATTATTGATATATAAATTAATTACTTACATAGCAAACGTAGTACATGACATTATTATTAACAATGAAAAACGTAATATAAAATAGATCATAAATCTGGGTAAATCGCGAAGGTGTTCAATGTTTTTCACTATAAAATATTGAAAAATAATGTGTAAATGGTATGGTGTAGATAATATGTAAATAATGAATGAATGATATAAATGAATAAATAACACAATTACTGTTTATTAAACCAACCTGTCATCGTAGTCATCGTATCCGAAACATGAGGATTAAAGAGAAAAGAAAGTGCCAAAATTGGTGATATAACACAAGTAATCCATAATATATGATATCCAGTAAAGACTGGAGGTAAACAGAGACAATAAGATAATAATATTATTAAGGACATTGATAAATATGTTCCAATCAAAAATGCAATTCCCTAATTATATAAATAAAAAATGAAAATGAAAATAAAATAAAATAAATAAAAATAATAATAATAATAATAATAATAATATTAATAATAATAATAATAAACAAACCATTCGTAATCCATTTATTAATCTTCTAGCTTCTCGTATAACATCAGTAAGTGCATATAAACTTGTATCATAATGCATAAATAATCCACATGGTAAAGCAGCAAATGCTGCACCTAATGCGATTGGTGATTGTCCTCTTATTTCACGAGGACCATTCTTCGTCAAAATACGTGTGTGGGTTGGTTCCATAGCAACACTAACATCAGCCTTATTAGTAATTAATAATAATAATATAATAATAATAATAATAATAATAATAATATGATTAATAATCATAATATATTAAATAATAATTGAAATATCTTAATTTATAACTTACCACCGCGAATGAATAAGTATTACAACTATTTAAAGCGCTTCCAATACAACAAACCACTTCTCCATATTGTTGAAAGATTTTAATCATTTCTTGAGTTGATTCCGGTGTACACTCAGCAAATAATGAAACATGAAGAGGAATATCATCAACATCTTCTAAATGATTTCTAGTATTATCAATTCCTCGTGGAAGACGAGCCTTTATATCATGAGATTCTAAATATCCATCTCCGAATGAATTTTCATCTCCAGGTGATGATAAAAGTATACAACTATTCCAATCTGTTTCAAGTCCTAGTCTTTCTGCATATGCTGCAGAAAATTATATATATAATATATATATATATATATATATTTAATTGTAGATATTTGATTGTTAGATATTTTTTAATCATTGTTGAATATTTATTTATAACCAACCTTTACTTTCCCTTTCGGCTGTTGGAGAAAAATAGACAAAACGAATTCCTGCCCCTTTTAAATCTTCAATAAAATTGCAAACATCCTTATTAACAAATAAATAAATAAATAATATTTATGTTAATATTTTATGTTAATATTTATTTATGTTTTATTTAATTAATGAAAAATATCTCCTTACTGCTTTTGGTTGATGACAAAGAGTTGCCATTGCCAAAAAAATTTGACCTTGAATAACATCTTGATAAAAACTTTCTTCTTCTTGTGGTGTAGTATTATTTTGGTCAAATGCAAAATCATGAAGATTGGCTTCTAACATTCCATTATTTAATCTATGTAATCTAATTGATTGTGATATAGAGAGATCTTCGTCATCACTTCCTTCTTGCATTTCAATTTTGTCAACTTCAGGTGAATCAGGTAATACAATATAAATACTACTACAATCTGATGCTGTGGATGTTAAAAATGGAATTACATTTCCGTTCTCAACATTTATTGGACGATATGAATATGCTATACATTGCATATCATTCACAATAGCATTTGCATAAAAATCATAAATTTTATTCTCCATCTAAAAAATAAAAATAAAAAATAAAAATTTCATAATATAATATAAAATAAAATGAAATAAAATAAAGCATAATAAAAAAAATATAATTATTCATCATACCTCTTTACTCATGGATTGTAAACCTTGACCATCCCAATAATCAGAACAATTATCAAGTATGATTTCTAAATGACCATCTGATAATAATTGATAACTTCCCACTTCAAGTTCTTCATAAATTGAAGAATTCATACTAGGAACTTCCCATTGATCATTTCTAATACGCTCTCTTAAAGAAGGATGACATGGTGCAGTGGTAAAGATTTCTTTCCTTTTAACAAATGGTCGAAGTGCGTCATCCGTGAACCCAATTTCTTTACCCAGGCGACATAAACATGCTAAATACATAATAAATTGATAAACAATGGGCGAATATCAAAAAAAAAAAATTAAACTGTTAAGCATTTTTATAAGTATCAAATATATTCGCTCATATGAAAATTATTATTATTATTATTATTAAAAGAATTACATTGTCTCGCAGGTTTGATTTTAGCATGAATATTAAAACTTGAATATTTTCGATGTTGATCCGCACGCTTTTTTCCTTGTAATACACCACAATTCGTGTTTAATAACAGATTAAGTCCTAAAGGTTTTAATCGTCTAATGGTAATAATAATAATAATAATAATAATAATAATAATAATAATAATTTTATTATTATTATCCTTATTATTATAATTATTTCATTATAATTATTTTATAATTAAATATACCCACGACAAATGTTGATCCCAATCTTGATCCTCAAACTTTACACGAAAAGCTGTACTTGGATCTTCAGCTACATCAAGGACAGTTATATCTCCTTCTTCATTTGGAAATAATATTTGATCAACTGATGCAAATGGCTAAATTATATTATATAATTATTTTAAAGAATTTTGAGTAAGTCTTTACAAAATCTTTCTGAAATACTAATACTAACAACAACAACAACAACAACAATAATAATAATAAATTAATTATAAATTAATTAATTAAATTGATTAAATTAATTACAGATGAAATTGTTCCTTCACGATCCAAAGAACAAATCACAGTTGCACTGCCTAAGGACTCAAATAAATTAGTAGATCGAACAAGTGATGATCCATCCCACGGATTACTTAGATATCGAAATTTTCTCCATAATTCCGCTATATATTTATATAAATTTTTTAGCAAATATAAATAGATATAGTAGATATAATATATTAATAGAGAATTATTTTACCTCTATCAATGTGAACATTTTTTGTAGGTGGAGGTGCTTCAGCATCAAATTCATCAACTTCATCATCATCTTCATATTCAGTTTTTGATATTTGTAAAGCTTCAAATAATACAAGTAATGTGGCATTCGCAAAACTACGAACTATTAACCAAAGAATTGGAAATACTAATGGAATTAATGGAAGTATGGCATAAATTGGTAAAATAATTAAAATTTCAAATGCTTGATCTTTATTATTTCTTCCTTCCTCTTTATTATTATTTAATATATATCGAAATATATTAATTAAAATTCCTATTCCAAGAATTACAAAAATTAATCTATGTAAAAAAACTCTTTGTAATATTTCAGCTTGTTTCATGATTATTGTGGGAGGTCGAGTTTGTATTAAAGCAGCTTTTAAACAATTTGCCCAAG